AGAGAGGAGAGAGAGAGAGAGAGAGAGTAGAGAGAGAGAGAGAGAGAGAGAGAGAGAGAGAGAGAGAGAGAGAGAGAGAGAGAGAGAGAGAGAGAGAGAGAGAGAGAGAAGAGAAGAGAAGAGAAGGAGGAGAAGAGAGGAGAAGATCACGGTTGTTGAGAGGAGTTTCGGGCCAACTGTCATGAGGGTCGCTGACTTGCTCCTGCCAGGCACTGTGTCGGATCCAAGTAAAGACAGGACTGAGCGACGTTGCATGTCGGGCTGCTGTATCGGATCATACTGAAATCCTTGCTTCTGGATAAGACTCTCCTCCACCAGCTGCTCCTTTGCTCAGTCTCGCTCTCTACCAGGCGCCCTCCTCCTCGTCTCGAAATCTTAAACGGACATGGTCCAAGTCGGAAGCAGGAGGCCAGCAGAGGAGGGGCGGTGCGATCAGGCGCGTACAATTCTGAGTTGGGGAAGGAGGGTGGAATGTCTGCGGTACCAGTGCGCTGCTCCTGTGCTCAAAGGCTGGTCGAGAAGAGACGTGGGCTCCCTCCTCGCATCGTTCTCGTCCTCGTCCTCCTGCTCTGCTCGCTCGGACATGTAGAGGCTCAGTCCAACACTACTTCCACCACCACCACCACGATCGGCTACGTCAGTTCGGTGCTGTACGGGAAAGATGATGTTGGATGCTCTGGGGGGGTGAAGGGATATCGGTAGACGAGGAGGAGAGACGATGATGGCGATGGCTGACTTGAGCTGTAGGTCCGTGCAGAACAACACCTGCGTATACCCTTACCAGAACACAACGGTAGGAGAACATCTCGTCTCAGTCTTCCTCCAGCTTCTGTTCGCTGACTGACATGGTGGGAGCAGGGGAGGAGCTACACGTGTAAAGGAGGAGACGTTGGGTGGAGCGCTTGCTCTCAAGGTCGCGTCTGGTCTACATGACGTTCCCTGACGAAGAAGGAGCAGGATCAGTCAGCTCGACGTTCGTGCCGGAGGGCTCCAAGACCTGCGTCTCCTCCTTCGAAGGAAACTTCAGAGAGTTGAAATCCTGCCAAGAAGCGATGTATACACAGGTGAGAGAGGAGAGAGGAGAGAGGAGGAGAGAGGAGGAGGAGGAGAGAGGAGAGAGGAGGAGGAAGGTGGGGGGGGTGAGGGGGAGGACTTACATCGTTTGGCAGATGGGTCTTTGGTGTGGGATCTACCAGTTCGAGACGTCTGACTGCGTCGGGGGAGGTGGAGGGGGGAGGTGAAAATCACAGTCTGACATGTCTGCAGTACTTGAAGTCAGACATCGTGTTTGAAGTCGGAAGGTGCACACCACAGGAAGGTGAGGAGAGGGAGGAGGAGGATACGAGCGAGAAGGGAGGAGGTGAAGAGTGAACGAGGAGGAGGAAGGAGGAAGGAGGTTGGAGAAGAGGAGGGGAGAGAAGGAGCCAAAGGGAAAAGGAAGTGCAAGGGAGAAGGAAAGAGAGAGCACAGGAGAAGATATCCGAGTTACTGTGACGAGAAGAAAGACAGGGAGGGATGGTGCAAGGGAGGGAGGGAGGAGGAGGAGGAGGAGGAGGAAGAGGAGGAGGCGGAGGAGGAGACGATAACAGTATTCCTCTCTCGCAGGATTTGTTGGGACGTACAACCAGCGGCTGGAGTTGAACGAGGAGACGTCGGTGATCAGCTTCAGGAACAAATGTTTCCCCACCTGCGACTCAAACTGCCCAAATACCTTCATTCCTTTCTCAGACCCGAGCAAGGTTCGATCCTTCTCCAGCTCCAGCTCTAGCTCCAGCTCTAGCTCCAGCTCCAGCTCCCTCTGCCCCACCTACCCCTCTCCCTCTCGCCCCTATGCGTCCATCCATCCATCCGTTGTCCCTAACTTCCACACTTCGTCTCATGCGTGTTCTCTGCAGAAAGTTCTTCTCGTGAAGAAGCGACAATGCTTGTCAGGGCTCCCAACTGAATTTGCACTGAACAGAACCAGCAGCTACTGGTAAGCTCCTCCAACTCCTGCTGCTGCTCCTCGTGCTCATCATCCATCATCATCATCATCAACAACAACAACAACAACATCATCATCATCATCATCATCATCATCATCATCATCATCATCATCATCATCATCATCATCATCATCATCATCATCATCATCATCATCATCATCAGCAGCAGCAGCAGCAGCAGCAGCAGCAGCAGCAGCAGCAGCAGCAGCAGCAGCAGCAGCAGCAGCAGCAGCAGCAGCAGCAGTAGCAGCAGCAGCAGCAGCAGCAGTAGCAGCAGTAGCAGCAGCCACCTCTTGCATTCTCTTCTTCAGCATCCTGACGATGTCATCTTCGTCCTCTTCACCACACCCTGCGTCGTCGTCGTCGTCGTCATAATCCTCCTCCTCCTCCTCCTCCTCCTCCTCCTCCTCCTCCAGATCATCATGCTTCCCCTCTGTCGCTTCATCCTCTGCATCCGCCTTGCTACGGCCTCCTTCACCATCCCCCTCCTCTTCCGCTATCATTGCCCCTCCGTCACGACTTCCGTCACGACTTCTGCTCCCCTCCTCAGAGTTTCCGCAGCTTCTTGGAGCTCCTTGGCCATGTACCAGCTCCTCGTCTGACCTCCTCCTTTCTTCGTCCTCGTCCTCCCGTACTGTCAACTCCTCCTCCTGCTGCAGCTGCTGCTGCTCAAACGTCTCGTCGGCCTCGCAAGTGACTCTGAACACCATGTCGAGGTTGGGCCAGCAGCTCGTCGACAGGAAGTTGTCAACAGTCTTGCTGATGGCGAGCATGGCGATCTTCCGTGCCGCACTCCCGTCAGGAGGGACCTTGCTGATCGGAGAGGAGGAGGAGGAGGAGGAGACGTCGAAGCTCTGGTCCTCTGCCTGCAACGCGCTGTTCTGCCCGTACGATTCACTCGAGCCTTCCTCGCAAACTTGAGCATCCTTGTCAGAGCCCTCGTGTACCCTGGCCCCCTGCTCCTGCGTTTGCTCCTCATCTTCCAAGAGCTCGTCCTCGTCCTCGTCCTCGTCCTTGTCTTCGTCCTTGTCCTTGTCCTCGTCCTCGTCCTCCTCTGTAACGATTGTCTTCGTCCTCAGATCCCCTTCGCTCCAAGGATTCCTCACACGGGCTGGGGCTACATTAACTCGGTCAGCGACTAGATCTTGTCGAACAGACAGCTGCTTCATGTCGTCCCGTCTGTCTGCTCGCCAGCTGGTTCCCTCAAGGTCATTCCTCCCCTCCTCGTCCCTCTCAGCCTCAGCAGCTGACACCGCTCCCCCCTCCCTCTTCCCTTGCTCCGTTGCCTCCCTCAGCCTCTCCGCGTATCCTGTGCGTCTGCGAAGCAGGTCGACCGAGTCTGGTCTCAACGAGTCCTTGCTCATCTTCCTCCGAAACTCTTCGAGGGGATCGACGCCACCCTTCTCCCTATCGTCCCTTCTGTCCACCAGGTTCCCAGCAGATATCTTGCTCGAGCTCTTGCTCCAGAGCTCCTCAGCAGGAGGCTGTGATCGGCCGGTCACTTGAAAGGGCAGGAGGGACGAGCTGCAGGTCTGCAGCTCCTGACGGACTTTCCTCTCGTATCGCCATCGCGCCAGAAGGTCCTCCGCCTCCTCCAGCTGCAGACCAGCATCAGCCCTGACTGGAGCCACCGAGCTACATTCACAGCCAGACGAACAGGAACACAGCAGCAGCGATTGACTCGGAACAGGAGGAGGAGAAGCAATGAGGAGGAGAGGGAGCAGGACATCATCAGCAGCAGCCTTGACTTGACTTACCCGGTGGGAGAGGTTCAGGTCGTTGTCTGTCGAGCTTCTCAGCGACTTGTCGCTCCTTGACGACCTGACAGACTTCCTGGACTCCACGGAGAGTCTCAACGCACTCGAGCTTTCAGACTCCGGCAGCTCCAGGGAAGCTTGACTTGGGTTGTAGTCTTCACGAGAAACAAATCAACACAATATTGCGAGCAAGTAGTTGTGGCAAACAATGTTTCACTGACCTGATGTTGCGAATGATTCACGGCTCGACTGGAATCCCGACTTCAGCCGCCAGGGTGACAAGAATGAGAGGGTTCAAACCTGGATTTCTTTGCTGCTCTTGACTGACCACCTTCCTGCGGACTTCTGAAACGATCCAGTGTAAGGTCGAACGAAGACAAGAAGGGGGAGGTTTGGTCGAGACAACATCGGTATGGAGACTTGATGATATGGTGATAGTACCATCGAACTCTCTCTAACGTTTGAGTCATCAGATGTGTAGAAATCTCTCTGATTGTTCCTTTCAGCGGCGTCTTGTGTCCAACCGTTCATCCTGCCAACCACATCAAGACTCTTTCTATCCTCTGGATTTCTTCGCACGTGAAGGGAGCTCGTTTCTGGACGCTCTCCGTGGAATCCCTTGGTGTATCCCCCTGGCACGAATGGTTTCAATAGATGACTCACTCGAGGAAAACCACAGCAGGGGGAACTGAAATCAACAAGATCGTTCGCTCACATCCGGCCCAGATCTCTTCCCCTCACTCGCACGCGGCCTGACCTGTAGCGATCGAGGAATCACTTTTCACTCCCCTCCCACTGCTCTACCCTCACCTCGTCCCCTTCCTCCTCGGCGTCTCTCCGCCACCAGAAATCTACATCCCTCGCTCCCATCCGCTCCGAGGCCTTTTGAGGCGGACCCTGGCGGAACCTCGCGATGAGGCCTGTTTCAACAGCATCACTTGCACCGGATTCTACCATGCGCCTGCCTGCTATCGTAGAAGTTTTCGAGCTCGACTTGGAAGTCTTGCCGTCTGCTCCCTTGCTCCTGCCCCTCCCACGAGCATCGTCTCGGCTCATGGCAGGAGCTGCTGCGGAGGCATCTTTAGGATGGTGTACCATCGTCTTCTTATCCAAATCTGCCCCATTCCTCACCATCAAACTTCCAAGACACATGTAGAGGCCTGACCTCCTCGCGATCGGAAACCTAGTTCGTGCTCCTTGTCCTCCGCCTTGCCTTTCGCGCTCTGTGGAACGAATAGCTTGCCTGCAGCTAAGTTGAGAACAAGCAGGAGCAGGAGCAGGGGCAGGAGAAGGAGCAGGAGCAGGAGCAGGAGCAGGAGCAGGAGCAGGAGCAGGAGCAGGAGCAGGAGCAGGAGCAACCAGGTTCAGCGAAGTTCCCTTGATCCAGCCGTGCGGCAGCCGAACGGGGACGAATCTGCAAAGTCTTTGCGGAGACTTGAGACTTCCGGGTCGCAGCTCCCAGGGCCGAGTGAATGTTCCTGACTTTACGAGGTTGAGATGGGGCGTGGGGAACGTTCTTGAGCTTGCTCTGCAGCTTCTCCTGCTGGCCGTCAGATGAAGGGAAGAGTGTCGGGCGGGGGAGTCGGGGAGGACCTGGATCGCATTGTTCTCGACGGTGTAAGGAGACGTCTGCTGGCTGGAAAGATCGTAAGAGCACGCACGGGAGGAAAGGGAAGGGCTCACTCCCACGACGAGACCCTGGCCTGTTTCGACTTCTCCTCCAGCAACCTCATGAGCTCGAAGCTGAGGCTGCAGGAGCAGCAAGTCAGCGATCAGAGTCTCCGACGGGCCTCACGCACTCTGAAGAGCTCTTCACATCCTTCTTTGCCGTCTCCTTCTGCCCCCCCAGGCCAACACCTGCCCATATGCTCGAAGTGTTCCGATCGCCATCGCCCGTACCGGACAGGACAATGTCCGCGTCTCGGCTGCGAAGAGAGGAGGCCTGCCAGCAGGTCACAACACAGTACAGGAACGAGAACTTCAGTGTACCGTCTGTCTTGATGATGCTGACTTCACTTTGCTCTTTCCAGCACCCTACAGCAGGTCTGAGACAATGGTCTGATTCAAACCTGTCCCACCTGAGCCGCTAGGTACTTGGAGGATACATTCTTGATGTCAGCTAGAGGTCGTCTCTGACCCAGCAACGTGTAAGAGGAGGAACTCACACCATGAGCATCAAGTGCAACACAGCATAAAATTCATCTCACCGTCTTCACCGATTTCATGGTAGGTACCTGCGACATTTGTGCGTAGTATGCACTAGGTCCTGTGCTGGCACCTCTTCCTGCTGTGCGCGTTCTTACAAGAAGGAACTTGGCATGCAATAGGCAGTCTGTCCCTCAGACACATGAAGTTCCTCCCTTCTACCCTCCTGCTTTTCCTGCTGCATATTGATGGCCTTTCCTATGGCTCAACCTCGTTCCTCTGCTCCCCTACACGTCCTCTCCCCTCCCCTCATCTCCTCTCCCCTCATCTCCTCTCCTCTCCTCTCCTCTCCTCTCCTCTCCTCTCCTCTCCTCTCCTCTCCTCTCCTCTCCTCTCCTCTCCTCTCCTCTCCTCTCCTCTCCTCTCCTCTCCTCTCCTCTCCTCTCCTCTCCTCTCCTCTCCTCTTCGCTCTTCGACGATCCTTCCTGCTCCGCTCCCATCTTGCAACTCCATGGCCCCTCGAGCGCCCTGTCCTCGCCTTGCCCTTCCCTGCCTGGCTCCGTTGCCATAATGTCTTGAATGGCCCAAGGGCGGGAAAGAAAAGAGGGGTGGGTCATGAGGATTTGCAGGGGTGGGGGTCATTATTACTGGGGTACAGAGAAACAAGAAGCGGAATTTCTTGAAGTTACGAAATAATTTCAATATTGGGAGAATCTTTTGGGAGAAGTACGTTAGGGACGGGGTACTTTCTCATTTACTTTACTGATATATTGAGGGTGTATTGAAAATTTCTATTGTGGTCAACAATTAGATATGGAAGTGGGTGGGGTCATTTGAAAAGTGACCTTCAGGGTGGGTAGTGCTCTAGACTGACGGGTAGAGCTACACGGGAAAATTCTTTGCATGCACCACGAGAGCCCGACGATGGGAGGGGCGGAGGAGAAGGAGGAGGAGGAGGAGGTCGGGGACGAGGACGAGGACGAGGACGAGGACGAGGACGAGGACGAGGACGAGGAGGAGTGAGACGGAGACATCAAGGAGAACAGGAGATGGTGGGTTGAGATGATGAAGAGCGCGCTCTCGCAAAAAAGATGCCGTATACACGCACGAAGGAAGAGTGGGATGGGAGGTAGCAAGGAGAAACAGCGCCATAGGAGCAGCTAGGTACACACGTGAGTTTGATCAGGACAGAGATGAGTATTGATGTTGGCTGGAAGCAAGGATTGTGCCTTGCACTGAATCTGGCGATTGATTTGCGAGAGGGCAAGGAAGTATTAGCTGTAGACAACTGCTTGCATATCCTTGTGGCATGATGAGAGTTAAACTGATTGCTATGACTGTGCAGGTTGCCTGTGAGAAGCCTTCAGCGAGCATGGTGGGACCGCATGCCATGTGAATCGCCACTGACTCGTTTCGAAGGAGGACGGCATGGATGACGATATTGCCCTGCTCTCGCAGGTGCAGCAAGACTCGGACGATGACGTTGGTGAGGACGAGCTCCAGGCTCCTGCCCCCTGGTGACGGTCACTTGTCTCAGACCCCGAGCTGCTGCAAGCGCTGGGAGACTCGGAGGACGAAGAGAGTGAGTGGAGAAGTATTGACCATGTTAGGTGACTTGCGGTAGCAGAGCCTGCAGCGAGCCAGACCACGGAAACTGCGGAGACGAACAATGACTTTGCGTGAGACAAGCTCCCCTGCTGCTTCTGCTCCTGCTTGACATTCCCTTGCAGCAAGAAGTTGGACGGCTCGAGGAAAGCATACCTCTTCAAGAGATCAGTCGTTTTTGCCAAGAAGTCGACGGGTGAGGGTGCGACTGTCTTGGTGGCGACTTGTGACTGAGCCCGCAGCCTTCGACCAGCCGCGAGACATGCCGGTCAACGACCTCAACGTCTCTCCCCCTTGCTCCCTCCCCCTCCTGTCCCGTTGACCCTCGCGCCGAGTGCAGGTAGGAGGAGACAACAATGCTTCGCCAGCGGCTGAGAACAAGGTGATCCTGCCTTGCTGGGTCGTGTGGACTGACGGGAAGGCAGGCGGAGAAGGAAGAGGTTTGCAAGTACAGGTGAGGAGAGGCAGGTTGCGAGGGTCCGGAGCGCTCACGTTGTGATCGTCGACAGTTCGATTCGAATCAAAGAGAGGACGGTGAGAAAGGCTGGTGGGGTGGGACTGATGTGTCGGCTCTGACATCTGCTGCCAGATTCCAGTTGCTCTTCTTGATAGCTACCTGCAAGCCAGGTAGAAGCGTCGAGTGACGGTGATGACGTGCGTTGACATGCCCTGTAGAACCTTCGTCCGGCTCTCCAACCTGAAGAAAGTCCCGGAGAGCGGCGACTGGTGAGGGAGGAGGAGGAGGAGGGTAGGGAAAGATGACGCAAGTCAGGGTTACGATCGCGGTGGTTGTGCATAGAAGCTCAACGAGGGGCTCGAGCAACGGAGGTATGTTGACGGAATGAGATGGAGGAGAGGAGGGAGGGAGGGAGGGTCACAGCTGGGAGGAGGAGGGGAGGAGGAGATCGAGGAGGAGGAGGAAGGGGAGAGGGAAGGAGTGCTGACGATGCCGTGCAGGGAAGTACACGATATGGGGGCTGAGCGATCTGAAAGGAAACTCAATGGTGAGGAGGGGAGGAGGTGGAGGCTGGCAGATGGTGACGTGGCTGGTAGATGTTGATGCTGTTCGGGGAGGCGTACGAGAAATTCTGGAAGGAGGGGGAAGGGATCGTCGTTGCCGTGCTGAACGGGAAGAAGAAGGACGAGCAACCTGAGGCCTCGTCCAAGGGAGCAAGCAAGGACCCGTCCTTCAGCGTTGACTACCCCGGGTGACTCTCGCTGCGCCTGCGGAAGGCGGCAGACAGATGGGAGTGGGCTGAATGTTTGCATGCAGGCAGATTGTTATTCTTGGTAAGGCGCGGGATTACGGCAAGTGCAGATCCCTGAGAAGGTAGTGGAGATGATGATGATGGAGATGATGATGATGATGATGATGATGATGATGATGATGATGATGATGATGATGATGATGATGATGATGATGATGATGATGATGATGATGGAGATGATGGAGATGATGATGATGATGATGATGATGATGA